AGATCGACCAGAAAATTCTATACACCACCCAGAACTGGACTGAGTTTGGTTAGGATATGAGTAGGTGATACCAGACGTAGCCACCATGGATGACCATCACTTTGCCATTCATTTTATTTTTGAAGTGTACCTCCGTAAGCATGGTCCTCTGTATCTCATTTTATAATACTTTTTCTATACTTTAAAAATACTGAATAACTGTTACTGAATATAAATTACAAAATACTTATGGGAAATAGGACAAAATTGTGTCCGGTAGACTTCAATGGCATCTCCTCTATTTACTATTATTTAAAAGCGTGACGCTTTGTGAGTAATTTCTTTTCAAACATATACTGCAGTTAGATTTTATTGCCCATACAACTCTTCATATGCAGGGAAACAGCTTGCGTGGATTAAATAATGGCTAATATAATACCTGAGCATGAGCTTTCTATGTTCATCTCTGGGCATTTATGGAACTCTTGGGCATCAAGACTTGCTCATTCCCAATTGATCCTGTATCAAAATCTGCGAGTGTGTTTACGCAATCCCTGACATAGTTTCATGCCAATGCAGATTATTCCTTCAGACATTGGGAGAATTTATCAGCACAGATATAGCAGTGTGAGTGGAAGTGAACCCAACAGTTGATCTTTGAATGTAAACATTCTTCCCACCCACTTTACCTGGACAAAGCCTGGTTGTAACTAGTGACTGTAAAAGGAAACCAGTTTCTCTATTCTAGGGTATGTCCCTATTTCCCCTGGTTACCTTCCTAAACTTATAGTTTTATTTTTGTATCTATAAGAAAATAAAAATTGAGTCAGACATTTAATATTTATTATGGCAAAATACTAGAAACAGTATGAAAACATAGATATATGAGGGTATAAATTAATCCACAAAAGGGTATTATCTAACTATTAAATACATTGAAAAAATTGATAAAGTTGTCAAATGTTCTCAGTAAAATGTTACAAAAAAATCTGGATATGAAATTGAGTGTATGATATGTTTTTGATATTATAAAACATATTGTGAAAAAAAACCTGTTTGTTGTAGAAGTCGTTTTGTTGCAGGACATCTTGATTCATTTTTCTTTCTGTATTTCCCAACAACTCTACATTAGTGGTCCTTCAATGGGTGATTTTCCCCCCTGGAGAACATTAGGCGATTGCTGGTGACATTTCTGTTGGTCACAACTCAGGGGAGGAGCCCTCCCTGTGTCTGAGTGAGTAGAGGTCAGGTTGCTGCTGAGCAGTCTGTACTGGGCAGGGTGGCCTCTCGCCCCTAACACAACAAGGGATTATATGCCTGAAAGTATCAATAACACCAAGTTTGAGAAACTGCTCTCTACATTAAATACATATTTTACTTAAAATTAGAGAAAAAGGTACAATGTTAAAACCACAAGAAAAAAAAAACCCTGTTCAATAATATAATATGCAAATTAATTTTTCTTATGTAGACTGTATTTAGTGGAAAACTGACAGTTATTGCTTCTCTAATTGTAAAAAATTGACAATGGAGATGATATTAAATTCTTACAGTCTCCGTAATTCGCTAGCATGAGCTTTTGAATGAGTGACAAGAGTCCCACGTGCCTGTTGAAATACCCAGGACTGGTTTTAGTCATCTCAGTATGAATTTCTCCAGTTGGGGGCATCTCTTGCAGTTGTTTTCTAAATCCTTGGTTGGCTCCTTTTGGATCTAAGTCGAAGCCTGAGAATGACCAATATTCACACAAAGCTTTTTGAAACAAAAGAAATTGCACCTGAATGAACACTTATGTGAAAATACTTTTATTTCCCATCCTGGCAAAATTCCTTAGATTTAATGAGGTGAAACTGTTTAAAAAAAAAAAGTCTTATGATGTGAGAACAAAAAGAGTATGTCTAAAAATAACTTAGGAGGCTAACTACTTTGCCTTTGCATGCTGTATCAGATGCCCGCAATGGCTAGACTTCAAGATTTCCCTTGACATCACCAAAAGAACAAGGGGCCGGGCGCACTTGTCATCCTAGCACTCTGGGAGGTCGAGGTGGGAGGATCGCTCAAGGTCAGGAGTTCGAAACCAGCCTGAGCAAGAGTGAGACCCTATCTCTACTAAAAATAGAAATAAATTAATTGGCCAACTAAAAATATGTATAAAAAATTAGCTGGGCATGGTGGTGCATGCCTGTAGTCCCAGCTACTTGGGAGGCTGAGGCAGAAGGATCGCTTGAGCCCAGGAGTTTGAGGTTGCTGTGAGCTAGGCTGACGCCACAGCACTCTAGCCCAAGCAACAGAGTGAGACTATGTCAAAAACAAAAACAAAAATAAGACTCACGTTTTACATTGTGATTTTAAAATTTTTATAAAGCTATGGTCCCAACTAACCAAATTTAATTGTATTGTTCTGAAGGAAGTTCATTAAATGCAGTTGAAGTTAAAATTCACCATCATGTTCTTTTTTTAATATACGTTCACCTAACTGCTGATCTATGCAGATGTTCAGTGTCTGCCCGTGTTTGACACATTCTGTCGTGTCAAACGCTACTTTCACGTTATCTGATTTCAGTGCTAACAATGTCAGTTCCAGACCTGTTCCACCTTCACAGGCTCTGTGGTATTTACACGAATGGAGTCACTTTGCACTAAAAACTTACCCACATCTTCGTGGGTGACGCCACTTGTAGCCGTGCCAAGTCAGAGCAGTCCGAGGTGATAATCAGAAACACTTTCCCTCTTGTATTAACTACAGTCATAAATGTAGGCTTTTAAAAAATTCACTGCACCTAACATTTAACATTTTTTGGAGGGGGCAGTTTAGATATCAGTTTCAAAAATATGAGGAGTTTATGGCTGTTTTTAAGAATCCATAAAAACAAAAGGATTTGGTCAGCAGTAGTGAGAGCTTGTCCAGTGGTGTTGCCCAAGGACAGTAACAGAGATGAACTTGACCCTTCTGAGCAGCTGTTAAGCCCCTAGCACCTTCTTCATGCTGGATATTATGCTGTCACTTTGCAGAGTTCATAACTAATCCTCGCAGTACCCCTCTTGGACAGGTAGGGATTATTTTTCCAACTTTACTCTCAAAGATCTGAGGTCTAGGTTTAATCACCTTTTCTAAAGTAATGCAGCTAATCAGTGTTAAAGCCAAGAATTAAAATTCCAGTTTGCTTGTCTCCAAATCCAGCACTCCACGCACATGTGTGCATGTCTAGCTTTCTGTTATGCCTCAGAAGAGACTTAACAACATAGCTGCTCAGCTCCTCTCCTGTTTGGGATGAATAATACTCATCATCCCAAACAGTGGCACGGATTTTAAAAAATAAAAGGTGTTAAATGAGCATGTTATGATCCTTAGCTTAAGTTTTGAGACTTTTAGTGGAGTAATTTAATTTGAAAACTTACTTTTCTAAGAGTTCTACCATGCTATAATTGCTTTAAAAAAAAGATTTTTAGCACTCTGGGAGGCTGAGGCGGAGGATTGCTTGAGGCCAGGAGTTCAAGAACAGCCTGAGAAAGAGCGAGACCCTGTCTCTACTAAAAAAATATAAATTTGCTGGACAACTAAAAATATATAGAGAAAAAAATTAGCCAGGCATGGTGGTGCGTTCCTGTAGTCCCAGCTACTCGGCAGGCTGAGGCAGGAGGATTGCTTGAGCCCAGGAGTTTGAGGTTGCTGTGAGCTAGGCTGATGCAACGGCACTCCAGCTTGGGCAACAGAGTGAGACTCTGTCTCAAAAAAAAAAAAAAAAAAGAGCAACAAAAAATTAAAAAATGGTTTTTAAAAGTGAGTACATAATCAGTGTTTATTTAAGTTTATTTAATCATCCGGTGACATTATTCTACCTTAATCTAATCCTAGATAATTTAGTGCAAAACCTATTAGCATAGATTGCCATAACTTGCCCCCTTCTTAATATATATCCCTGTCTGGACATAAATATCAGGCCAACAGAGATGTCTTCTGTGGTTTGTCTTTTTCTTTTTGTTCATATTTTTTCTTTCATTTGAATTGGTGGGGTGGGAGTGCAGAAGGTGGTAGTGAGTTGTTAGTCGCAATAAGGAAAAACTTTCGAAACAATTTTAAATGTGTCATACGTAAATTGCAGAATTGTGTTTATTTCCTAAGTAAACTGTATGCTAAATTTCTCTCTTTGTGTGTTGGAAATCACCTGCAAAGAGGACGGGAAGGTTCTCTAGGTGGGGTGGGGGTGTTGCACTTCACCACATGTGCTGCTTCTGCTTGCAGCTAGCTACTATAGAGAAGGCAGTGTGATAATTTGAACAGTCACACCTTTTTTGTTTACGATAAAAGGTAATATGCGTGAGGTGCTTTTATGAGGGTTTCAGAGTGGTAAAAACAGTAGGTAAAATAGATTCAGTCCATTTGGCTTTGCTTTTTAAATTCTTTTAAAATTTATATGTTGCCCCACTTTTGTGTTGTGCAGTAACATTTACTAAATATATTGTAAATATATTGTATTGATTCTTCTTCCATATTAAAGATTTAAACTTTAGGCAGGGTTTAATTAGGTGTGCATTTCTTTCTTAGGCTCCCAAATGCATTTTGATGAATTCCTTAGATATTCAATTAACATGTGAATGATTTGCATAAAGTAGTATATTTATATTCTGTGGGCTATTGCAGAATCACTTGTATTTTCCTTGTTGTATTAATGATTCCAGTTATGATTGTACTAGTGGAAAATGAAGCTGTATAATTGGAAACTGCTAAGATACTTTATAGCTTATTAGCTTAGGGTAATTATCTGCATGTTATATTACACATTGAATTGCAATTGAAAGTGTTGCATTATATTATTTAGCAAAAGTGGCCACCAAGAATAGTTAAATTGTTATAGTTACCATTGACTTGAAATGAAAAGGGAAGACTTTTCATTGCAAGACTTTTCTATAACTTGTAAACAATGTTTTCCCTTTTGATAACTATTCTTTTTCTCTTGTTTCTTTTTTTCTTTTTTCTTTCTTTATTTATTTGTTTTATAATTTGCTGCTTGCCATTGCAGGAAGTAGAGGTTTGTATACAGCTTTTGTGTTTCATACTTTATTTTAGATTTTGTATGAATCCCTACATTCTAAGTACTCATACATACTCAATTCACATTATTTTCCCCTTTAGGATGACTATTTCCGCACTTGGAGTCCAGGAAAGCCCTTCGACCAGGGTAAGAATCTAATTATTTTAAAATAGAAATTTTTACATATTTATAATCATTGTGCTTTTAAAAATGGTATTTATTGTCTGGTTAGATTTTACAATTTTACTAAATAGGAGAGCTTACATGAATGGAAAAGTGCATGCAGTAATTACTTTCATTTCACCATGCTGTAGTTAGAAATAAGCTAATTAGGTGTCATGATTATGTTAGGATGCCTTTTATTTTTAGATATGTGTTTTAAATTATTGATTTGGGCTTTTGAACTTTATTGTGTTTATTGTTATTAGTAGATACAAGTCACTTCATCTAGTTTTCCAGTGCATTCACTGGGCATTAGATTTATTTGTTCAAAGTTTCAAAACAAATGGTTTTGCTGCCTCTTTTCCAGTTAATAAAAGCCTTCATTTAAAATGTAGAAGACTGGTAATTAGACTCAGCTGGGATCTTAAAAAGACCCAAGATGAAAAGCCTTATGCAAAATTAGGGTCCCCTACCTCTGTCCACACAGCTTGCAGTTCTGGTTAATTTACCTAAGAAAAAAAAGCAGGAAATGTGAATGAGGATGAAAACACCCCTATGTGTACAATGAGGATGGAAACACCAAACTCAATGCAACCATAATTATATACATAACTCCGGAGATTTGTCTACTAAATTCCATATTATTAGGACCAGGGAATCTTCCTTTTAAAGTTTGAAACAAAATAAATTTCTACTTTACATAGGCTAAGGATAATACTCCATGAAGTAGTACCATTTAAAAGTAGAAAGCGTTTTAAGAATATTTAGGTAAGTGATTGAATGACGGAGCCATAATATGTTATTCAAGGGAGCTTAGGGTATTTTGTGGTGTCTCCACATTTTTAACTGAATATTTGGGATGACTGCTATAGCAGCCAATCTCTGTCAGGGAGAAACAACTTGTGTGGACCTCGTCATAGACTGTCATCAACTTTGATATTAACCTGGAGTCTGAAACAGTCATCCATATCCTATCTCCCCTTTATAATTAGTTTCTTTCTTATACACATCATGTGATTTCACTATTTTTATCCAGTGAGCCTATTTGTGGAGTAAACATTTTAAAATTCTAAAAAAAAAAAAAAAATTTAATTTTGACTTAGTCCCTAATAAGTCAAGCCAATGCATTAACAGAGGCAATAAAAAAATAATGACATGCAGACTGCAATATATTTGCCAGCTTTCTTGGGAAATGAATTTTTATGATGGAGTCATAAACCTTGAAAAGTGGGAGGTTATCTATGGAATGGATGTTAACACTTAAATCTGTCATACTTGGTGCATCCGGTTATAATAAAGATGCTTTTATTTTTTTCCTTTTTGCATGCATGATAGTGTGTTGAATCGCTATTTATCTTTCAAAAAACAAAAAAAAGATTCCTATACAAGAGAAGTTTCCAAACCCTGATGTTCTGCAGTATTGGTTTACTTTAATTTTCAAAGAGGTTTTTAACCTATTCACTTGTTAAAAATATATTTATCAGGCAGGGAGGAACTCATGACATGATAATACCTGATATTCATGAATGTCCTATATTCAGTCACTATTTTATATATGTGTTCATTTAATCATCACAATAACCCTGCAAGTAGATGTGGATGCTAAGGCATTGAAGGGGGTTAAGCTCTTGCCCAGGTTAAATTCCTACAGAGTGGCAGAATCAGAATTTGGGTTCAGCCATTCTGAACCCCAAACCCTGCATCCTAACTGCTATGTGATAACTACCACTCGTATGTTAGCACTAACATGAAATAATGCATACTAATGATATTTTGAAGTTTATGCTTTAAAATATATATTTACTTGAAAAAATATTAGAAATAGAATGGTTATCTTTATTTCTATATGGTAAAACAATTTTTGTAGACCATCAGATCCAGAGCTTTGATTTTTTTTTTAAATGCACATAGTTGACAAGCATACATGGAGCTTTTTTATTAAAAAATGAAAAATATAAAAAAAAATTGGGATACATGTACATGTGTTTGGCTTTGAATCAAATTAATCAACCTGTCTGTAGGCCACACTGAAGAGTGAGCAGATTACTCTGCCCCCACCTAGCTCTGAGTAAGATATATCATGTGCATCATCTGGATAGAATAGACTCGAGATTTGATAGTTTCTCGTATGTTCCTTGTTCTTTTTGATGACAGACTATGTCTTCAGTTATTACCTTCAAAAGCTGATTGATCTGTTGAGCGTAAGATAATTTACAAAACTTTGTATGCCTGTTTATAATTCCAATATGTTATGTTTTCATGGATTTATGGACATCCCTACTGTATCAGTATAAATTGATTTTCCCTTATTTCTTTTTTGGGGAGTTTGCATATTTCCTAAGAAAGAGTGAAGAAAAAGTTACCTTGTCGTTATATTTTTTATGCTGGCATTTGTACAATTTTAGCCATCTTTACTTAAAGTTATCTTTTACTTCTATTTCTATATCCACAACATATGCAGAAATTAAAATACCACTAGTGAAAATGTTAATTAATACTTATAACTTCCCAGCATAGAGCGCCTTTCTACATATATGCATAAATATGCACACGAATGCATGCATACATACACACACAGATACATATCTACACAGGCACAGACACATCTGCACTTGCAAACTTACTTTTAGGTAAAATCAACTGATTGTTCATATAAACCTTATCTGCCTTTCAGCTTGCCTCTGAGAAATTTTTTGTCTCATTGAACCAATGAGACAAAACCAATGAGACAAAATGAGAAAAGAACCAATGGTTCTTTTCATCAACCACACTTCCAGTTTGCTTTTTCTTAGCCACTAAAATTGTAAGAGTTTTGGGAAAATAAAATGTTGACAAATGAATTTGAGTAAAACTATTTTGATATTGCTGGATGTGCTGCACAATGAAAGAAAGTGAACTGATGCAGAAATAAGTTCTTTGAGTTTCTTCACCGTGTGTTTCCTGTGCCATCACTGCTCTTCATGGGTGTGGATGATCATGAGTTGACACAACGGAAATCGACTGAAAAATAGTTTTCATGATGACACGCATCTCTCAGAATAAGGCACAAAACTGATATGTTTTACCATGTTTACTATGACAGATAAACAGAAAGGGGAAGTGCATGAACGAACCTACAGTGATGCTGTGATAAAGATTTTAAATAATTTAATCAACACTTTGGATAAATATGCTGTAAACTTTGAAAATAAATAATAACTCCTTTCCTTTGTACTATACTGACCCTGCCTTGTTTCTGACCATGGATGAATTTTGGTGTGTAACAGATACGTGACCAAAATTTTTAGCAGTGGTCCCAGACAGTCCTTTAGAGAGTCTACTCGGACTGAGGTACTATATCTACAAGGGTCACCTGTTATTCACAAGTTATTTTTCCCAGCATGTGATAGATATCTAGGTTCTCTCAGGTGAAAGATTTGTAAGCCAATTATACTTTATTTATTTCCTTAATTTTTCTGTCTAAACCAGCTTGGAGTTGCTCTACTTGATGCCTGCCATGGCAGCGTTATGATCCGTAGATTAATAACGAAGAAGTTGAATTTACCTTAGGTTTTCTCACAGCAGTTTCAGTGTGTGCTTTCTCTCTAAATCAGGGCCTCTCGGGGAAGGGCAGCCTGACTCTTTCTGGTTCATTAGATGTGTTTAATTCAACAAAGGTTCCTGAAGAGGAGGTTGCAAGGAAACCATTCCTAAACTCAAGTTACCCCAAATCTGGCCAGGCGAGACAGACACATGACAGCTAAACTTGCAACCGATCTAGTCTTGCTAGGATCAGAGGGTGGGAGGTGAGAAAGACTGGGCTCTTGGAAAGGGCGCTGACATGCCCAGGCACGTACTCTCCCATTTGTCTTTTCAGGGCCCGTCCATAGGGCTGTATCTGATGCTCATCATTTTTCCCTCCGTTTGCAAAACATCTCACATGTAGCCACAGTCACGGCCTGACGTGTCCCTTTGCAGTCAGTCTCTGGCTACAAAGGAAGAGCTGTTGAGATTTCATCTGGAGCTTTTATTCCCTCCAGTGAACAAAGCTGTCCATGGCATTACGGCTGTTATTATTCCTGAAACCGAAGAAGACTAGTGTTTGAGATAATGCACCCCAACTGTCTTCCTCTTCCTAAACACATTATTATACTTACTAAGGCACATGATGTGTCGATTAGATTAATTTTTGCTTGTTTACATGAATATTTTTTTCATGTTCTTAGATGGTGTTTACGGGTAGTATTTTGAAACAGTGGGTAGGTCTGAGCCATGATTCACAATGGAGGCATGGTGGTATTACAATGCTGCTTTGTTTAACAGCTTGGGGCCTTTTGGCATTTTTCTAGTGGAAAAATTGGTGTTCCCAGAATTGAAATTCAGTGCTGGCAATATGCAAAGATGATTACATAATCACGGTACTTTCGAAAACTGATCTTAACCATTTAAAAATGTGAATTCTGAATCATTATTTGATCTGAACCATTATTTAACCAGTTCACATGAATTGATTTAGGATTTTTGTATCTTTTTGGGCAAATTCCTTGTTAGGGCATTAAAAGTTCCAGTGGCCATGGCAGTTTGTATCCTGCATTGGTTGCCGTCACCCACAGTGGCAGCAGTGGATCGTGGGGCCTCTGCACCCCCAGGGAAAACATGCTAAGAAATTACATTCAGCCTAGAAACCAACAGTGCACGCTCATTTACTCTGTTACAGTCAGTACATAGAAACCATATAAGCTTCTAAATGAGACATTTATTTTTGTAACCAATTCTGAGTTATATGATAATGGTATTTAATTTGTTTTACACCATAGTCCATAAAATACAGCAACCAAGAATCTTAGACTGTTTTGTTCTATGCCAACTAGTGGTACTTACTCTATAGAACAATAATATAGAGGTCTGTGTTTGTAACTCATGAGATAAAATTGAGATTAACATGTAATACTTGATTTGCTTCATATCACAGTAGCCTACATAGGTGTGCAAGAAGGCAAATTATA